GAAGGCTTCTCGGTAAAAGGGCGGGCGCCTTCTGGCCGTTCTTCTGAGAAAGCCCTCCCTCTCTGCCTTCCCCCCATGTGGAGAAGAGGCGGGAAGGGGAGGGGTAGGAACCGGCGTGGGTGTCTCAGGGCCAGGAAAGTCAGTGGCCATGCCACGGCGACCGATATCCTCAATGACGTATGCAGCGATCTGGAGCGTCTCGGCAACAAGCACGCAGACCGCTTTGCTGAGCAAGGTGCCGAGGCGCACCCCTTGCCTGAGCTGGAGGTTCAGGCGACAGAGGTAATCAGAACGATGCAGCAGGATCTTGTTAGGTGGGCAGCGGTCCAAGATGTCAAATGGGCCGGTAGAGGTTGGGCTGACTCGTCTGGGCTTCCTTCTCGCTTGCAGACTCGAGACACGGATACCGAGAAGGCCCAACTCTCTGGAAACCGAATGTTAAAGTTGAGGTTCCATATTTTTCAGGTAGGAAGATGGTCCAGGGAATGCCGACCAGCTAAAGGAGCTCACCCTCCTGGCCCGACTGCCGGGTCACAACCTGTACGAGGCGAAAGTGTTCGCTGCTGATGGTTGCCAGGCGGGGGGGGGGGAGTGGGCGGGCGGTGTCTTGTCTGGAATGCGGAGGCTATGCGTGGTCGGGAGTGGCCTCTCTTGCGTCTCAGTGTCCAGACCGCCCCCCGACCAAGGACCTCAGACAGCAAAGGTCGAGGTTCGCCAAGGGAAGTTTCCCGAGCTGGGCGAAAAAATACCGAGGCTGGACGGTCACATGTCACCGTTGGCCCCACCTCTCCAACCTCGCGGCTTTCATCCGTGCATTGCACAAGGGGGTTCAGCTATCAGGGGGAGCTGAGCCAAAAACGCTCACTGCTTTTGTTGACGGCCTGTGGGAGGAGAAGTGGGGCCCTGTCCAGTTCCTCACCAGATTCGACTTGATTTTGGCGGCTCAGGATGATCGGGAGATTCAAGCCTGAGCAGGTATGTTGTTTGGTGCGGGTGGCGTAGACACCTGCTTCCGCAGTGAACTGAACTGAACAGGATCAGGAACGGGCGTGACGGGAGGACGGGAGAAAAGGAGGGGGAGGGAGGGAGAGGGGAGGAGGGGCATGTACGAGGAGGAGAGTTGCGGAGGAGAATGGATGAGAGGGAGCATGAGCAGCAAAAGGAGAAAAAGGAGAGGCAGGTTTGGGATGATGAGGAGCAGGGGGAGAAAGAACGTAGAGGAGGAGGAGGAGGAGGAGGAGGAGGAGGAGGAGAAGGTGACGAAGAAGAAGAAGAAAAAGGAGATTGAGCGCGACGACGAAGGAGGGGGGAAACGGAGGAGGAAGCATGAGAGGAGGAGAAGAGGGGAGGAGGAGGACGGCAGAGGAAAATGAGAGGAGGAAATGAGGAGGAGGAGGAGGAGGAGGGAGGAGGAGGTTGGACGTGGAGGAGAAGGAGGAGGAGGAAGACGGCAGAGGAAGAGGAGAAGGAGGAGGGATAGCCACGGCAGGGTGAGAGGGTGGGAGTAAAAGAGGGAGCGGATTGGAGCGAGAGGGGAAGGGGGAGAGGTTGGGGAGGCCGAGATTGGCGCGCTCGGGCCACATCTGACATAACGCCCCACCCTCCGACTTACCATGGAGTGGAGACCCCTCGATTCGCAGATTCGCGTGTCGGAGAAGACATGGATTCCGAAAGGAGGGGGGAGGAGGAGGAGGAGGAGGAGGAGGAGGAGGAGGAAGGAAGGAGCAGGAGGAGCGGGACGAGGGGGACGAGGAGGACAGGACGAGGAGGAGGAGGAGGGATGGCCGGCGTCTGAACGACACCATGGCCGAAGAGGGAGGGAGGAGGAGGAGGAGGAGGCGGAGAAGGAGGAGGAGGAGGAGGAGGAGGAGGGAGGAGGGGTTGGACAAGGAGGAGGAAGAGGAGGAAGAGGAGAAGGAGGGAGGATAGCCACGGCAGATGAGAGGAGGAGGAGAGGAGGAGGGAGGAGGAGGTTGGACAAGGAGGAGGAAGAGGAGGAAGAGGAGAAGGAAGGAAGGATAGCCACGGAAGGATGAGAGGGTGTGAGTGAAAGAGGGAGCGGATTAGAGCGAGAGGGGAAGGGGGAGAGGTTGGGGAGGCCGAGATTGGCGCGCTCGGGCCACATCTGACGCTACGCCCCACCCTCCGACTTACCATGGAGTTGAGACCCCTCGATTCGCAGATTCGCGTGTCGGAGAAGACATGGATTCCGAAAGCTGGGGGGAGGAGGAGGAGGAGGAGGAGGAGGAGGAGGAGGAGGAGCAGGAGGAGGAGGAGGATGAGCGAGAGGAGGAGGAGGAGCAGGAGCCAGGAGCAGCCTGGAGCAGAGAGCGGGCAACGGGTACGGAGGAGGAGAGGGACGAGGAGGAGGAGGATGGCCGGCGTCCTGACCGACCACCACGCCGAGAGATGGAGAGGAGGAGGAGGAGAGGAGGAGGAGGAGGAGCAGGAGTCAGAGGAGGGCAGGAGGAGCGGGACGAGGGGGACGAGAGGACGAGACGAGGAGGAGGAGGAGGGATGGCCGGCGGTCTGAACGACAACAATGGCCGAGAGAGGAGAGGAGGGGGAGGAGGAGGAGGAGGATGCGGAAGGAGGAGGAGGAGCGAGGAGGGAGGAGGAGGTTGGACAAGGAGGAGGAAGAGGAGGAAGAGGAGAAGGAGGAAGGATAGCCACGGCAGGATGAGAGGGTGTGAGTGAAAGAGGGAGCGGATTAGAGCGAGAGGGGAAGGGGGAGAGGTTGGGGAAGCCGAGATTGGCGCGCTCGGGCCACATCTGACGCTACGCCCCACCCTCCGACTTACCATGGAGTTGAGACCCCTCGATTCGCAGATTCGCGTGTCGGAGAAGACATGGATTCCGAAAGGAGGGGGGAGGAGGAGGAGGAGGAGGAGGAGGTAGGAGGAGGAGAGCAGTAGGAGCAAGTAGGAGCAGGAGGAGCAGGAGATCGGGACCAAGGGGGACGAGGAGGAACGATGACGGAGAGGAGTAGGGGATTGCGGCGTCTGAACGACACATGGCCGAGAGAGGGAGAGGAGGATTGGTGGAGGAGGAAGGAAGGAGGAGGAGCAGGAGCAGGAGCCTGAGGAGGATGAGGAGGAGGAGGAGTAGGGAGGAGAGGAGAAGAGTGGAGGAGAGGATGAGGAGTAGGAGGAGGTTGGACAAGGAGGAGGGAAGAGGAAGATACGGCAGAGGAAGAGGAGAAGGAGAGATGGATTAAGCCACGGCCAGGATGAGAGGGTGTGAGTGAAAGAGGGAGCGGATTGGAGGGAGAGGGGAAGGGGGAGAGGTTGGAGAGGCCGAGATTGGCGCGCTCGGGCCACATTTCACACTACGCCCCACCCTCCGACTTACCATGGAGTTGAGACCCCTCGATTCGCAGATTCGCGTGTCGGAGAAGACATGGATTCCGAAAGGAGGGGGGAGGAGGAGGAGGAGGAGGAGGAGGAGGAGGAGGAACAGGAGCAGGAGCAGGAGGAGCAGAGGAGTCAGTAGGAGACGGGGAACAAGGGGGAACGAGGAGGACGAGGACTAGGAGGAGGAGGGATGGCCGGCGTCTGAACGACACCATGGCCGGAGAGGGAGAGGAGATGAGGAAGAGGAGGCCGAGAGAGGGAGAGGAGGAGGAGGAGGAGGAGGAGGAGGAGGAGGAGGCGGAGAAGGAAGAGGAGAAGGACCCCGAGGAGGAGGAGGGGAGGTTGGACAAGGAAAGAAGGAAGAGGAAGAACGGCAGAGGAAGAGGAGAAGGAGGATGGATAGCCACGGCAGGATGAGAGGGTGTGAGTGAAAGAGGGAGCGGATTGGAGGGAGAGGGGAAGGGGGAGAGGTTGGAGAGGCCGAGATTGGCGCGCTCGGGCCACATCTGACACTACGCCCCACCCTCCGACTTACCATGGAGTTGAGACCCTCTGATTCGAGAATTCGCCTCGTCCCGTGTAGGAGAAAGACACAGGATTCCGAAAGGAGGGGGGAGGAGGAGGAGGAGGAGGAGGAGGAGGAGGAGGAGGAGGAGAGGAGGAGCAGGGCAGGAGCAGGCGCAGAGCAGGAGCGGAGGAGCAGGAGGAGCCTGGAGGAGCGGACGAAGGGGGGGGGGGACGAGCGAGGAAGAGGACGAGGAGGAGGAGGGAATGGCCGGCGTCTGAACGACAACCCGGCGAGAGAGGAGAGGAGGAGGATAGTAGGAGGAGGAGGAGGAGGAGGAGGAGGCGGAGGAGGAGGAGGAGGAGGAGGAGGAGGAGGAGGAGGAGGAGGAGGAGGTTGGAAAAGGAGAAGGAAGAGGAAGACGGCAGAGGAAGAGGAGAAGGAGGATGGATAGCCACGGCAGGATGAGAGGGTGTGAGTGAAAGAGGGAGCGGATTGGAGGGAGAGGGGAAGGGGGAGAGGTTGGAGAGGCCGAGATTGGCGCGCTCGGGCCACATCTGACACTACGCCCCACCCTCCGACTTACCATGGAGTTGAGACCCCTCGATTCGCAGATTCGCGTGTCGGAGAAGACATGGATTCCGAAAGGAGGGGGGAGGAGGAGGAGGAGGAGGAGGAGGAGGAGGAGGAGGAGGAGGAGGAGGAGGAGGAGGAGAGGAGGAGAAGGAGAAGGAGAAGGAGAAGGAGAAGGTGGGAGGAGGGAGGAGGGAGGAGGGAGGAGGAAGGAGGAGGGGACATGGAGAAAAAGGAAGACGGCAGAGGAGCAGAAGGAGGGCGGATGGCCGGGGCAGGGGGAGCAGAGGGAGGAGGAGCGAGAGCGGGAGCAGCAGCGGAGGGGGCGGGATCGGGAGCGGAGGGGGCTGGGCGCCGCGAGCGGAGGAGGGCGAGGGAGAGGGGGCTGCTGCTGCTGCTGCTGCTGCTGCTGCTGCTGCTGCTGCTGCTGCTGCTGCTGCTGCTGCTGCTGCTGCTGCTGCTGCCGCCCCCGTCTTCCCCTCTCGCCTCCCGCCGTCGCCGCGCCCTCGCCGGGCGATGGCCAGGGCGGGCCGGGGACGAGACGACACGGGGGCGGGGCGCCGCCCAAGAACCCGCACGGCTACCTCGCTGGGGACGAGTACTACGTCAAAAGAGCGTATGGCTGGCTCGCGGTGGTCTACGGCGTGCTGGCCCTCGTCTGGGCCGTCCTCATGCTGCGGTGGTACACCGAGACGGCTCCCCGGGCCGCAGGGGGAGCAGGAGGAGGAGGGGGAAGGCGAGAGGGACGGGGACGCAGAGGGGGGAGCAGGTGGAGGAGGCGAAGGGAGGGGGAGAGGGCGAGGAGCAGGGGGGAAGGAAGGGAGGAGAAGGAGGAGGGGACAGGAGTTTTCCCCTGCTCGCCCCTGCTCCTACCAGATCGGGCCGATCGGGGTCCGTGCGCCTCCGCCGGCCCGCGGTCTTGCTGGCTCGCGCCTGCGCACGCTGGCACTCGTGATCCTCGCGTCCTCTGCTCTTACGGCCTCGTCTCGGGGCGTCCTCTGACGATTCCCGAGCGGGGTCCGAGCGGAGTCCTCGTCCTCCGTCCCGAGGGCAGCGTGCCGGGCTGCGTCCAGACCGTCGGCCGTGCCGAGCTCCAGGCGCCGGCGCAACCCCTCCTGGGCTGCGGCGCGGAGGGGCGCGAGCTGCATCGCAGCACCGCTGCGGCGCAGCGTGGCGCGAGGCTGGCGGAGGCCCCGAGGCAGGACGCCGCAGAGCTCCCGAGGCTTGCAGGCCAGCCGCTGGGAGGAGGGCCGCCCTGGGCTCCGCAGGGGCCCTGGACGTCGGGCCGCTCCGCAGGTCTGGGCTGGCGAGTCTGTGCACGGCCGAGGCCCGCCGTGGCCAGAAGGGCCCAGTCGTTGCGGCCTCGGCGGTCCGCACGGCAGCACCACGGCGGCGTGGAGGCAGCAGGAGGTGGCGCTGGGGGAGCGGCGCTGCGCGAGTGGATCATCCCCACGGTGGAGAGCCACATCGGCGAGCGCGGGGCCGGCACGAGGGGCCTCCCCTCTGCTGTACTCGCGCCCCGGCGCGGCAGCGGATGAGCTCGCCGATCCCTTTGCGTCACCCTCGCTCCGTGGCCCCGTCCTGCGCTCGCATCCCGTGCCCCTGCCGCGTGGCCCTGCGGCGCGGGGCCCTGCCGTGCGAGGCCCCCCATCGCGTGGGGCCCCCATCGCGTGGGGGGCCCGACCGCGTGGGGCCCCCCCTGGCGTGGGACCCTCTCGCGTGGGCCCCTCTCGCGCGGGAGCGCATCCGCGGGGCAGTCCGCCGGGGGGCAGCAGCGCCGAGCGCCGAGGAGGCCGCCGCGAGCCCCCCGCGTCGCACGGGGCCGGCGCATCCGGCCATGGGCAAGGCAGAGATCCTCGGCGAGGCCGTGCAGCCGAGCACCGCACGCCGCCGAGATCCCAGGCGCCCGAGAGCGGACTCGCTGCGGGCCCAACGATGTGGGGGTCGGCCTGCCCGCCCTTTCTTTCTTTATTTGTTTCTTTATTTATTTCTCTTTCTCTCTCTCTCTCTCTCTCTCTCTTTCTCTCTCTCTCTCTCTCTCTCCCTCTCACTCACACTCTCTCCTTCTCTCTCTCTCTCTCGTTATCGCTCACTCTCTCGCTCTCTATCTCTCTCTTTCTCCCTCTCTCCATGTACGTGTATATATATATGGTGTGTATATGTAAATGTGTGTACATGTATGTGCGTACATATGTGTATATATATACATATACATATGTGTAAGCGTGGACCTGTGGGTTATATCCACGGAGTTGAGCGGATCGAGGTTTGGTGGCGCGCGCTGGAGTGTACGAGGTTGTCACATACTGCCGCAGTTCCTTTGAAGCTCGCTTCGAGTGGTCTCCCACTGAAAGCGCCCAATGCACTGATGCGGGGGCCGAAGTGTTCGAGCGCCGCGAAAGCTAGGAGCTCCAGAGCCCAGGCCAGAGCAGCGTTGGAAGATTCGCGCCCAGATCGCGGCGGACGCGCGAGCGGGCCGGGGCAACCGCAGCGCCGTCTCGAACCGCGTCGGAGGCGCCAGAACGGCGTCTCGGAAGAGGCAGAATCGCAGCGGGGCACCGGTTAGGGGTGTTCACAACGCGAAGTTCCGAACCAAAATGTCGCTGCACATGCTGGAGAAGACACACAAGCAAAAAGCGTGTCTCGCCGCCGATCCTGCGGAGCAACAGGGCGTCGTCGTCGTCGCCCAGAAGACACGTATCCCCGGCGACCAAGGCGTCGATTCTCTTGTTTGTGGCCGCGAGTGGCCTCTCGCGTTTCGTCCGTCCCCTCTCTTGGAAGCAGTTTTGAAGCCTCTAGGATGCCGTTTGGGAGCCCCTGGGCTGCTCCTTTGGGCTTCGCGCGGGCCTCTCGGGGCCCTCTTGGGCCGTGTAGGACGCCTCATGGACCGTCTGGGGGCCGTCTTGGGCCATGTTGGGCGCCTCTTGGGCCGCCCTGGGGCCATGCTGGGCTGTCTTGGGCCCCTCTCAACCCCGACTTCGGGTCTTCTGGGGCCTTCTCGGGCGCCTCTTCGGCCGTTTTCGGACCGTCTGGAGCCATGTTGGGGCCTCTTATGAGGCGCTATTGAAGGCCCCTGGGGCCGTCTTGAAAGTTCCGAAGAGGGAAACAGCGAATCTGCTGAAAATGTCCGCTTTACAAAGGGAGCGCCTGGAGCAATCTTGGGAGTCGCTTTAGAGACATTTGGAGGCGGTTGGGAGGGCTTCTTGGGGGTCTGACCGCGATTTTGGAAGCTTCTGGGGCCGCTTCGGGGCCGCGCGGGTGATTTGGAGTCGTCTTTGGCCGTTCGGGGGCCCTCGTGGGGCCGCGTTGGCGACTAGGGCCTAGGGAATCTGGGGTGGGGACCAATTTTTGGCGCTGTGTTTTGCTTGTGAGGGTGCTTTTTTGGTGAGCCAGAAACGATTTTGCTAGCTTCTGGGGCCGCTGCGGGGCCGCGTGGATGATTTTGGGAGCCGTCTTTGGTCGTTTGGAGGCCCTCTTGGGGCCGCTTTGGCGCATAGGGGACCAGGGGAGAGGCCCCAACCCGCAAGGCACCTTTCGAACTTACCTACACGGCTATAGTCATACATCTGTATCCCTCCCTGCGTTGCCTTAAATTTGCGGGCGAGTAGTTAACGGTACACAGGCGACTGGGAAAATTGCAACCGCGCCTCCCACCGCAGGGGCGTTAACTTCCCAGCCGCGCCCCTGGGACAGGCGCCCCCGATCGCGAAACAGGAGCTGGCACTTCGCCTGTCGCGCCGCCCGTTTTGGCCCACCGTGCTCCAGCGCGACATGGAGGCCCCTCACTTCCCCAGTGCCGAGCGTCAACGTCCCGAGTCTTTCGCGGACCCCCACCCCGCAGAGCGGAGCGACACGCTGTCCACCCGCACGGCGTAGCGTGTCGCCGGGGCCGCCCCCGCAGCACGCGAAGCAGAGTTCCCGCACCGTGTCGGACGGGACTGGGACGAGGACAAATCGCCCAGGGGCGTTCCGGAACGCTTTCAGAGCGTTCCGGGGCGCTCCAGGAAGGCCGCGGCGCCCGATACACATTTTCCAGAATCGGGGGTCCCCAAACGGTGCGGTGACCACACCGTGCGGTGAGTCGGTGGGGATTCGGGGTCACCGCACGGTTTTGGGACTCGGGTCGTTCTCCGAGGACGTCTCGGGCGACAGGGGCCTCCGAGGTCCCAAGACCGTGCGGTGACGGACCGTGCGGTGAGGTCTTGGGGGATGTCGAGGTCACCGCACGCTGCGCCACCGCACCGTTTCGGGACTCCAAGCAGAAAAGCCGGATCTCAGAGATGTTCGATGTATCTTCACCCGATGTTTAAGTCGGGCCTGTCCCCCTACAGGAGGATCTTCGACGTAAAATTTGAAAGAACAAAAAGTAAAAATTACCCCGGCAAAGTAACCTAACAGCGATGTGTAGGAGCATATCTGGAAGCATTCCCCTTAAGATTCAGATGAGAATCCAGTTGTAGAATTCTGCTGTTCTCGCAGTCGTAGTCGCATTCGCGATGACAGTCGCAGTGGCAACGGCAGTCACAGTCACAGCCTCAGCCTCAGCCTGCCTCAGCCTCAGCCTCAGCCTGCCTCAGCCTCAGCCTGCCTCAGCCTCAGCCTCAGCCTCAGCCTCAGCCTCAGCAGCCTCAGCCTGCCTCAGCCTCAGCCTCAGCCTGCCTCAGCCTCAGCCTCAGCCTGCTTCAGCCTCAGCATTAGTCTGCCTTCAGCCTCGGCCTCAGCCTCAGCCTGCCTCAGCCTCACCCTGCATCAGCCTCAGCCTCAGCCTCAGCCTGCCTCAGCATCAGCCTGCCTCAGCCTCAGCCTCAGCCTGCCTCAGCCTCAGCCTCAGCCTGCTTCAGCCTCAGCCTCAGTCTGCCTTCAGTCTCGGCCTCAGCCTCAGCCTGCCTCAGCCTCAGCCTGCATCAGCCTCAGCCTCAGCCTCAGCCTGCCTCAGCATCAGCCTGCCTCAGCCTCAGCCTCAGCCTCCTGCCTCAGCCTCAGCCTGCTTCAGCCTCAGCCTCAGTCTGCCTTCAGCCTCGGCCTCAGCCTCAGCCTGAGCCTCAGCCTGCATCAGCCTCAGCCTCAGCCTCAGCCTGCCTCAGCATCAGCCTGCCTCAGCCTCAGCCTCAGCCTGCCTCAGCCTCAGCCTCAGCTTCAACCTCAGCCTCAGTCTGCCTTCAGCGTCGGCCTCAGCCTCAGCCTGCCTCAGCCTCAGCCTGCATCAGCCTCAGCCTCAGCCTCAGCCTGCCTCAGCATCAGCCTGCCTCAGCCTCAGCCTCAGCCTGCCTCAGCCTCAGCCTCAGCCTGCTTCAGCCTCAGCATCAGCCTGCCTTCAGCCTCGGCCTCAGCCTCAGCCTGCCTCAGCCTCACCCTGCATCAGCCTCAGCCTCAGCCTCAGCCTGCCTCAGCATCAGCCTGCCTCAGCCTCAGCCTCAGCCTGCCTCAGCCTCAGCCTCAGCCTGCTTCAGCCTCAGCCTCAGTCTGCCTTCAGCCTCGGCCTCAGCCTCAGCCTGTCTCAGCCTCAGCCTGCATGAGCCTCAGCCTCAGCCTCAGCCTGCCTCAGCATCAGCCTGCCTCAGCCTCAGCCTCAGCCTGCCTCAGCCTCAGCCTCAGCCTGCTTCAGCCTCAGCCTCAGTCTGCCTTCAGCCTCGGCGTCAGCCTCAGCTGCCTCAGCCTCAGCCTGCATCAGCCTCAGCCTCAGCCTCAGCCTGCC